AGTTCATTCCAAAACCATTTCACCTCGGACTGTTTCAAGTTTCGTTTTTTTAAACCCTTGAGTCACAGACTCATTGGGAAAAATATTTACAAAACAAAAAAAAAGCAATACAAATATCCATATATACTATTATATAAACACAGTATTACAAACAAGAATCATGACATGGAGATTAGAGTGACGGTATATTAATTGTTACTATTCCGTTTAATCACTTATTTTATTAGAAAAATCTACCAGGGTTTACAAGTTCAGATACATTGTTAGTATATAAAAGATTAAATAATTTAAAAACACTGGGGTTCGAATAATAATACTTTTTTTATGTATTATTATCTTAGACTTTTATAAATTAAAACAAAATAGTACTCAACTTCAATGTCTTCAAAATTAAACAATGTACATAATCGTTTACTTCTCTCAATATATTTAGTACTATATCGTAACCTTTCAATATTTAAATTATGACTGGACAAACGGATTCTTGTAATTTCACGTCTGTATTTTCTGTCTATTGGTTTAGTCAAATAATATTGTAAGCCAAATGTATTCACAATATGCTTATAAATGATACATTTACTTGATAATTCAAATTTCTCAATACACTCCTGTCTAAATATGTCTAATAATCTTTGCCTGATGATATGGATACAATTTGTGTTTATGAGATGAGCAGGTTTTTCCCATAAATCCCCCAAGCCAAGTTCCTTCTTAACATTCAGGACCCACGGGTCATTATACGGGTCATTATTTATTAACATATTAGAGTAGCAAGAGTTAAGACATTAGTAGAAGAACGTATTTTAATCCAGTATTTAAATATCCGTAATTTTCTCGTAATGATTAAAGGGAAACATCCAAGGTCATAATAACCCTTGGGGATAATTTGTGGTTGTTCTTGTATCTAAGATTTTCCCAAGGTACCTTAAATGTATTTGTTCTATATCATGTCCCGAATGAAAACCCCATAATTTAGAATACAAGAGATAAAAGTATAAAAATAACAATTTTCATTACAAACTTTTGAGACTGAGAAGAGAGCTTTTTGACCCTGTTCAGCAATGTGTTTTTGTATAATTAGATATTTACCATTCAAAATTTTTTTATCAGGGTGTTTCACCCCCCTTGTTATTATAATTAACTGAGTTGTACTTATCGTTAAATAAACTGTTACATAAACAATAATGTGTGGAATAAATATGTTTTACTCGGCGATTTTTGTTGATTACCGATCACGACCAGGATTAGTTCACTGCTGTATGTTTGTTAATTGCCGTTATGATTTTAGATCTTCGGTCAGTTCACCGATGTTTTTGTAGTAAAGTATATTCTTATTGTTTTTATTTTTGCCGTTATGATTTTAGATTAGTTCACCAATGTTTTTGTAATAAAGTCCACTCGTATTGTTTGTTAGTTTATGATGTCTAACATCATTTATCTTCTTTATAAAAAAAGATATTTTATAATTACATATTGACAGCTTAATCACTCGCCAAAATACATCATGGACTCTAGGTATTACCCAATAATCAACTAAATTGCACAGGGGCCCCCAATCAAGTGATTACGTTGTCTGAAAATGGGCGACAGCTTGTCTATAGAGATTGACAGTGACTGTTTTTGGCGCCAGTCTAATGTACAGTCTCACGAGATTATCGCACTGCTATGGAGAGCTTGACTTATAAACACGTGTACATATGGAAGGCTAGTTCATTCATTTGTGATTTAAAAAAGATACAATACCTGGGATGTGATTTACCGATTTCCAATTGTATAATTACCTGGAACGTGATTTACCGATTTTTTATTTATTATAGGATAATGGATAATATATACTATGACCACGGTAAGGTGATCATCTATGGGTGTGCATTTTTATATTCCCCTTTTTATTCGTACTTCATATGTAAATAATCGTAATCAAAATTAAACGATCGGATAAACGGCTCGCGGGAAATTAAAAGGTTCATCTAATTTTTCATCGCCGTAGATAAATTAATCATCTGTTGATTTTTCAACGTATCTCAGGGAAAGTAAACGACTGGTCTAATAAGTAAAGGCCGTAGATAAGTAAACAGTGTGTTGATTTTTCAACGTATCTCGGGAAAGCAGACGGCTCATTTAATAAGTGAACGTCGTAGATAAGTGAATGAGTCGGCCATTTTTAAACGCCTCTAGGAGAAACTAAACCCATCACCATTAAACTAAGCCATAGTACTAACTGAAACATTTATGTAATTCTTAAACGATTTTTATCAATTAACAAACAATGTTTTGAAAGTAAACGCTATGCATACTTTCCAGTGCTAAAAACCATGTTCTAAACGATACCAAATCCCTAGTGTCTCCTGTTGAACCGCTTTTTTGTCTTGGTATCTCTGTGCTTTTAGTTAAACAGGCTCTAGCTATGTGGCCTCTTTTCTCACATTTGATGCAGATCGCATCTTTAAATCTACACTCATATTCTCTATGACCGGGTTTGAGACATCTCTGACATCTCCATAGTCTGTGGTGGTTTCTTCTTGAACTTTTGAAGTTTATTGACTTGTCCTTCTTTCCACCTCTCAATTCCATAGTGTCTTTTGTAGCAGTCTTCATAGCTATGGCAATCTCTAGAGCTTTTGCATGGTTGATGTTATCTTCGGCCAAAAGTCGCTTCTCGATGGCTTCCGACTGAATTCCACATACACGTTTGTCTCGTAAGGCTTCATCCAAATATGTACCAAAACTGGCAGTGTTGAGACAACTTCTTAATTTCTGCAAAATATGTTACATTCTCAGCATGTTCCTGAAGCAACGACTGCGAGTTTCACAACATCTGGCCGTTGCTTGTTTACTTCACAATTCCCGAATTTATAGCTATGTTATCAACAGACACATGAGCAGTAGCATCAAATCAGAGGTTGTGACATCGCGACCTCCATGGAAACCTTGACATTGAATGAACCTTGAACTTTGCAACTCGATTATCACAGGTAGACATTTTAGCTTGAAAGCACGATTGAAAGCAATATGCAGGGTATTACGTGAAGGCCTTGATAAGATGTACGTAGTTAAAGCGAGATCAAGCCTTCTATTGAAGATGCATTTTCAGATGCTAATAGATCTCTCTTGTGGAATCGAAACCTTTGCAGGATAACCAAGGGTTTAGGTGCGAGATGGAGTGTCAGAATATCAGAAAGTTCTTCAAGTGTTTTAGAGGCTGGCTTGTCTGGTGCAACCCGGTCTCTCAACAAACTGTAGGTAGTTCCACCAATCAGGCTAAGAAATGCAGGAACTTGCTTTTCGTCCTCTGTCTTTAAATAGAAATGAAGTTCAAGTCTCTCAAAATATGTGGGCCAATCGTGTGTTGACTCGTCAAAGTTCTCAATCTGACCATTTTCTACAGCCATTGTTGCTTTTCAAAGAATTTAAGAACAGGAAATATTATTCTTCAGCACCTGGCGGTAAAACACATGTGTTGACCATGTGTGGGGTTTACACATAAGATAACAGGTCGAGAATAAAAGTCCAAATTCTTTACTGTAGTTAACTTAATTCTTCCCACTTTTTATATTAACCTCTTCTCCAGTTCCTCTTCTTTCTGAAGAACTGAAGCATAATCCTCGTCGCCAGTGTTATGTCTAGGCTTCCAGGGGTTTAGTAGACATAAATAAATAAACAACAGGTGACATTTTCAGTGGAGAATCCAGACAGCACTTTATTAACCGAAGAGTTACAGAGGTGAGATGATACGTCACAATGGTAAATACAACTGGGACGTTTTGCTACATATAGTAATACAATGGGATGTTTCGTAACATAATAATTATTGTATCAAATACATTACAAACACGTAGAAATTAGTCATATGTCACATATCCTAATGGTATATAACACCCCAAATCAATATACATTGTATCCGATAACTTGTCTGCTATATCACTTTGGTGGAAGCGAGCATTAAATAAAGCTATTTCACACAACACACATATCTGAAAAATACCAGCCAATGCAAGCTCTGTTTCTGATCACATGCAGTTATAGTACAATGTCAATAACTGAAACGGAAGTAGAAATCTCGCGAGACGTGTCAAATTATGAAATGAATACGTGAGAAATAGCACACATCTAATGTCGGAGAAAAGATTCTATTTTGATGGCACATTCTCAGATTTATGATCATGTTTTGAATGGGTTTATGGTTTTAAATAAAGAAATAAGTACGCTAGGAAATGTTGACAAATATGTTGATTGGAGGAGTGTAAGTAATTAATTGTTTTAGACGATAGCGCATGCTAGAGTCGAATGCGATTATTTAGCAGTTGGTGTCACTCACTTGTTGTGGTAGAACGACGTTTTTTCCAAATAAAATTCGGGATGTCATTTTTGTTACCTCCCGTTTATAAGCTGAAACAGAGTATAAGACAAATGCCGGACTTCTGCTGAAAAATGTATCGACTTATGACCCGAAAAATACGGTAATTTTGGAGGAATTTGAAACAGGTACGAGTCGGCATTAGTAGGTACACTTTCATTCTATTGTATTACGACATAATGTAATTTTGTAGGAATATTACTGATATAAATTTGAATACTGTACAGGAATTAAATATGAAAATTAACGAGGTGCACCTATTTTTTATTACATACGAATTTATATATTTTGTTCACACTTGATTTTTGTGTGTGGTCTAAAACTGCCTGCATAAATAATGATAAGAGTTATGTCCCATTATTTTCGGTAAAAATGTCTGACAAGAAAAACTTTGAAATCCCATCACTGGTTAAGACAACGGTTTCATTTTGTAGAACCTTGCAATTGTGAACCCTCAAACAACGAAAATTATAATTTGATCTGTATGAAATTATCTTGAAAAAATGCCCCCAGTTAGCTACAAAAAAATAAATATGTGACAACCCTTGTCGACTGCTTAGACGATTTAGCTGCTGTGGTCATATGTTTCGTTGCCTGGCAACCTATCTTTTGTTTTAATGTATTTGATTGTTAAACACCTCAGGAGAAGAAGACACGATCTGGTGAACTATTAAATGATATGGAGAAACAGAAAGAGTCACTAAAAGACAATATTATTGAAGTAAGATATGAATTTATTCTGTGATAAATATATTAAAAAGACAATTTGCTACTTTTATTGGTGAATTCATGGTTTGTTGCCTTTTCACCAAAGCTACTTTTTATACTCCCACATATTCATGCGGACATATGATACCATCGCCACTGTCCATCCATGTGTCCGTTCACATTTGTTTGTAGACACTCCACGGGTCACAATATTTATATGCCCATATTTCATATTGTGGTCGGTCTGTCGGGCATCTGGCTTTCACAATTGCTTGTGGACGCTCTAGAGGCTACAGTTATACCATGTTCCTGAAGCAACGACTGCGAGTTTCATAACATCTGGCCGTTGCTTGTTTGCTTCACAATTCCCGAACTTATAGCTACGTTATCTACAGACAAGTGAGCAGTAACGTCCAATCAGAGGTTGTGACATCGCAACCTCCACCGAAACCTTGAAATTGAATGAACCTTGAACTTTGCAACTTGATTATCACAGGTAGACATTTTAGCTTGAAAGCACGAGACATGGTATTCGCGACGATCGAGGAATCTGACAGGCTCACAAGATTGGCTTGTACCCAATCGAAATTAGTGCCGCAGGGTATTACGTGAAGGCCTTGATAAGATGTAAGTAGTTAAAGCGAGATCAAGCCTTCTATTGAAGATGCAGTTATACACATTTTTTGAGGTCCTCAGATAAAAAAGCAATACCCCTTAATCATTTTGAAATGTTAAGGAAGTTGTAAAATGTGGAAGGGATAATTGCGGCACATGTAGATATTTAACTGACGGTCAATCATTTATAATTGACAATGGAAAAGTATTTTTTGTCAATGAAAGTATGAACCTGTAAAGTAATATACTCTTCAAAAAAAGTAGGGTATATTGAAATGCAAATACCAATGCAGGTTGCGATATGATAAATAGTCATGGACTTTGACTTGCTTCGAGAGTATGTTCACAGATGAAGAACTTATCGCCCCAACAGAACCACTGAGCTCCACATGCGACACGCAATAGCGCCATACACGTGGGAGGGGTTCATTGTCAAATTTGACACTTCAAGGAAGGGTTGATGAAAACTGCCGCGTGCTGGTTTATCTATCCATGTTTGATTTCCTATCGGTTCTTGCATAAGATTTACTGTTTAGCGTATCTTTGCTTTAGTGTGTTTTGTTTAATTTGATCGGGAGACGTGTTCGTCGACGTCAACGGACAACACTGCAAGAATTGACTGTGGTACTGCGAAAGGAGGAGGTCAGATTGCCCCTAATCGTGTTTGAATGGTTGATTATGAGCATGCCACGACGAATTGCTGAATGTCTGAGGATTGGTGGAGCAATTACTCATTATTAAGACAAAAATCAAAAATGTCCATTTTCACTTTTGACAGTGTATCTCTTTGCGAGTGAAATGGGGCCGTCAGATAAGCTGCCCATATGAACTGTTTATGTTCATGTGTAGGCAATTGGCCTGTTATTAACATACACTGGTTACCTCTAATAAAAACAGCAGTTTTGTATTGTTTCTGAATATCCCCTACTTTTATTATACACTCACATTTTCATGTGGACGTATATTGTCGTTGCCCCTGTCCGTCCGTCCATCCGTCCGTCCACAATTGTTTATCACCCTAAGATCTCGGTTCCTTTCGATATTGGCATGTATTGGACTGTAACTTCATGGATTATGACCCCTGATTGTACGAAAAATCATGTACTTAGTTTGTGAACACTGTGGAGGTCACAATTTTTATCCGAATTGGTTTAAACTTGAAATGTATGTTTATAACCCACAGATCTCAGTTCCTTTCGATAATCGCACATATCGGACCATAACTTCCTGAATTATGGCCCCTGATTGTACGAAAAATCGTGTTTTTAGTTTGTGGACCCCATAGAGGTCACAATTTTTATCTGATTTAAAAAAAAACTTACAATATATCATCGTTACACCCTAAGGAATTGGGGGGGGGGGGGGTTCAAACCTTTTGTAACTGATGACCATATTTAGAGTGGCCCACGGCCTCAATTATTTGTACTATATAAACTGACCTGTTTCAGCATGTTGTCACGCTGATCAAAACAGCATTTATGAGAAAAGTTCTCTCACGGGCTCGCTTGTGCACTGTAGGCAGCAAACAGTCGCCTAAAATAGACATTCATGTGACAATATTCATTCACTTATTTATCAATGAAGCCATGTAAAAATTTGGACTTTTAAAAATAAGTAGTTACGAACTAGATTAAAATTTTGGCTAAAATTTGGCGATTTAATTTCTAAGTTACTTGATTGTAACCAATGACGTATATATTGTAACGGTTCTCGGTTCAGAGTCAACTCCTGTAGTTTCGCCCTTTTTCTATCTTTTAAATCCACTCTCGCGGCAACATACCGACACTGCAAGACTGTGAAAGTCACTTTTATTTAACCGTAAAACCCTGTTGTTAGTTGTCGCTTTAGTTAGTTTAGAAGTTACATTGTTGCTAGCTCTAAATACACAGAAAAAAATTGAGACTGGAAATTAATCAAACGAAATGTATTTTCCCTAGTCTTGGTTAAAATAAAATTACGGCACTGGTCACAAGACTTGAATTATAATCATTTTAGGACTGCGAAGGTTGGCCTCCGGTTTGTGTCAAATTTAATAGGAGGATGTGCCATTATGGCTATGCCATTATTCGTGTTTAGTATGCTTATGCTTTCGTGCGTAAAAACTGCATTTGCAATTTTTAACATGGTGGTTACAAAACGTTTCAGTTATTATAAATTCAGCAGCAACTCATTTTTCTAGAACTGAAATATAACTAAAAAGACGCGCATTGACTGTTTCACAATTTTGACAGTTAGGTACCACTTTTCAAAAGCAAATATTATTTTTTTTCAAATCTGGTATAACTAAAAGGGTGCGCCCTTTAAAGGTGCACAAAATGTTGGGCCCAGTTTTTTTAATTTCGATTCCGTTTTCGGGCTATTTCGATTAAAAGGTGAAAAAAGGTGTAAAATTAAGCTATTACAACCCATCCAGAGTTTTCATATTTTAAAATATTACTTCGTAACTTTCATAAACTCGTAGCAATAATCTATACGAAGAGAATGTATGTGAAAATTAATTTGTAATATGCGCAAGATTTTGATATTTGATTCTAATCAACTAAAAGAATGAACCCATACGATCATATAGATATCACAAAATGGTTTCTAACTTGTTCAGTTGCGAAGAAATAGGCAATTTTCAACAGGTCACTTTTCAAGGTCTTTTGTCCATAAAAGTGTCAATTATTATTCGATTTTAATGAAATATTCACCGTGTGATACCTAATGCCATTTACGATTTCATACAAGTAATTTAAGATTTTCATTATCACCGAAAGTAACGTCATTTTGGCAAAAACTGTATTTTTAGCCTTCAAAACAGATATTTTATTCAAATGAGTCTGATTTGTAATTTTTTTTAAATTATGATATTTGATTCCAGTCAGAAATAGATTGAACCCATACGATCATACAGATACCAGAAAATGGTTTCTAACTTGTACGGTTGCAGAGAAACAGACGATTTTCTACAAGTCAATTTTGATGGTTTTTGGTCTATAAAAGTGGCAATTATTATTTGATTTACATAAAATTTTCACCATGTAATGCCTTATGCCATTTCTGATTTCATAAAACTAATTGAACATTTTCATTATCACCGAAAGTACTGTACACTTACATGTAACAAATGTATAAAATGAATTAATATTGCTGGATTTGGTTGATTCGGCGTCCATTTTATTTGATGTGTGCAATGCTTATATGGAAACCTGTTTAATGGTTTCATTGGTACCGGAAGTGACATGTTTAGGGTAACGTGACACCGGTGAAACCCGTCATTACTGCATTGCAGTTCTAGTTATTATTATTCTTATTATTATTTTTTTTTGTGTGTTTTATCCACAAATCGGATTTCTCAGAATCTAACTATTGGATCTTTCTGAAACTTTTACCTATCCCCCCAAAAATGGGTGGTGACTGTTGATTAAATATATTTTCAAAACGTTTTACGAATCCGAAATCACAGAATTTTACGAACGAATGCATTTGACCTACAATGCTGTAACTTTGTGACTATTTGACCTATTTTACTAAATCTTTTTTCTTTGAGTACCTTGAGACAATTACTTCAAATCTGCAGATTCAGATTTTCGAATTTCGAAAATTCGTCGCTGTGATTTCGAACCGGTATTTATGACCAATTTGACAACTTCTTTAATAGTTGTACGATTTTCATGAAATTTAGCATGTAAGTAGATCTTACCGATGCGACTTCAAAAATATGATTAGAAATTTGCTAAATTATCTCCCCATAATGAAATTAAGGATCAAAATTTTCAAAAAATTCATCGAAATATAGGTCAGAATGACCTAATTTTTTTTTCCGATACAAGTAATTACTGATTCATATACAAAATATGGAGTTTGTCGATCGAACCGGAAATGCCACCATCTTGAAACATGAAAAGTCCTAATAATTTTTGCGATATTGCACTTACAGACATGGGAGTTATATTTTCTGAATCCCTGAAGGAATGTCTAAAAAACGTTCAGAGCAGAATTTTGATTTAGGTCAACTGATGGCTGCCGTTTTGAAGTGAATATGAAAAATAGCGAAAAATCGACATTTACGGTCTTCTAAACAAACACAATAGGGCATAGTATGTTCAATACGTCTCCTCATAACAAACACAATTTATGCCTTTAATTTTCAAAATTTACAAATTTAACCTAAATATTCGAAACAGCTAAGGTCAATCTGATTAAAAAAATATTAGTTCCGTTCAAAGTTATTTCATTTATTTTTTTGATATTTTCCTGCCCCTTTTTAGTTCTTTCCCGCCATTTTCGTTTCATGTTCTCATCCGTCCTGTTTTTAAACGGCTTGATCAGTGATGGGATTTCAAAATTTTTCTTGTCGGATATTTTTACCGAAAATAAAGGGACATAACTCTTATAAGATGGCTGTTTTTAGAC